CATGGGAAGTCAATACTAAAGCAGAGAGGGTCTCATCACATCTCTCCTGCTTACAAGCTTTGAGTATCAGCACAAAAGACAGCTATATTAGGCTTGATTCAATCTCCCATACTGCATGCTACTGCATGGTCAGGTTTAGCTAGTAAGTACCACAGAAGGAGAAGAAAGAAACACGATAAAGATACACATGACACAGAAAGTGGCTCAGATCACTTTCATAACACACTGTGCTATTACTTGGCAAGTGCTATGGCTTTAGAAGAAAATTTGGACAATGTTAGATAACATTTTGCACGGATCACTACAGAAGTACCTCTCCTTACCATTATGTAATCTCTCTGACCAATCTTGCAATCATGTCAGTGTATGCCAAAGTGGATTACATTAATCTATTTCTAAGTATTCATAAGAAAGTGCAATACAGTCTCTCTTAAAAGAGTGAGAAATAACAAGTACACACACAAACTTATGACACAAGCATGATAGCTGTCTAGGGCAGCAGGTTAGTGTGAGCAAACAGTCACAACCTCAAGGAGAAACCCTTTCCTGCCGCCACATGAGCTCAGGCCTCCAAGCCAGTTCCATGACAGGAGCAGGGCATGGGCTTGTCAGCAATGGGATATGCCTCTCTGAGGAAAGGAGAGCTATCAGCTAGCACCCCTCAGCCATCGTGCGGTCCCACAGAGCTGCTAGGCTAAGGAGGAGAAGGAACTGGCAGAACAGAGTAAGATGACAGCCACATATGGCGTGAATACACACTGCTAGGGAAGGGAGCTGACTCTGCAGAGAGGATACAACCTATCTACGACATCAGGAAGCTTTGAAACCATCCATGAAAAAAATGATAGTAAGGCAGAGAAAGTATTCTACAAACAAGAATGTGATCTGGGAAATCAATTCACTGTCAGCCAACTCAAAGTACAGTACCATCAGCTGGATGATTTGCCTGTCCTTGAGTGACCGAGGATTGCAAGATCCTCTCCAGTATTATGATCAGGCTGCTCTACAATGCCTCACCACTTAATTAACAACTATACACCAACAAAGTAATATTCAAGTCCGAAGTCCAATAGCTGGTGCAAACCTTTATCTCATACGCTTTCTACTTAATACATTGACCTTGCTGACCTTCATTGCTCCTTCTGCTAAATATAGGAATAGCTGCAAACTGCTACAAACTCAACACAGAATCCCCAAAAAGAAACTCCTTACCTGTTTACCTGTTTCACAGTCTGGCAGACATGAATACCACTGGCACTACTCCCACAGTTTACATGTGCATAATTTTCTTACAATCCACCCCCAAAGCTAAAAGGGAAATTTATGAAAATCTATCAAAGACTTAAGTCCATTGACCAGCCCCTTGAACAGCAGCTGTGGGACAATAATCCAGAAAGCCTGATGCAAGCAGGTCTGTGTTCATCCTCTAACAGAAGGGAAAAGCTGGTTTAAAGCACTTGCCCTGTGTCATTCAGGAAATCATGGTAAAGACCGGCAAACACTTTCTTGAGGGTATAGTCATTTGTAAAGGGTACTCCTGTAGCCTCTCTAAATTAGCTGTATTAAACTACTTCCATTCTTTCTTATACTACAATGCACCACAAGAATTACATTTAGAATTATTTTTAATATTCATATGATTTGACAACAAAAATTCCCATTAATGTAGAAATCATAAGCAGTAATCAAAGTGATTCTCTCTTTCAGGGGTCCGCCATTTCTCACAAACATGCAAAACTACACAACAACCAAACTAACAAACAGTATTTCATCACTTTTCTTTCACTTTCAATAATTCATGGGTCTAATATTTACTCTATTACCTGTGCAGCATAAATATTAATGACATGCCACTGCAAACTTTAGAGTACTTTCTGGCTAGATCAACAACCAGGAACTTTTGCCCTTGGCCTAAAGAGAAAAGTCTGTCACTGTGATTAATGACAAAAATGACAAAATCTTGTAACTAGAATTAAACATATTATTCTACACAAATATTTCACCAGTCTTTAAATGCATATCACAAAGGTTTGAAATATGTTTTCAAAGAATATGTCACAAAGCCCACCCTGAAATTATTGTATTGCATGGAAGTATTTGCAATCTTTTACCGTATTAGAATGTCCTGCAAGATCTATGCCTTCCATTTCACATGTTTAACATTACGATGCATTAGTAAAAATGAAGGTTAATCCCCATCTTCCCTGATTAATTAATTTCACCTGAGTTTTAAAGGAAAGAGTATTTAAATAATATTTATGATTGAAGAATGGAAGGCATTGGGTCTCCAAACTATCCACCTATAAACAAATAAATTGAATGGGACTTTTTCCTCCAGTTTACCTGAAGTAAAAACAGTACTCATCTGTGATTTCATTGAGTTAATCTACTTAGAATCTAGAAACTTCTGATGGCACAATTATGCTAACACACATTTTAAAGGTTCCTGCATTTCCCTAATGCTACTACTAATAATGATTTATCCTTTCTTTAACGCACAAAACTCTAGTCAGTGCAGTTCAACAACTTGACAAATCAAGTTTAGCATTTGCACAGTGCTGACAGAAAAACAGTTGATGAAAGTAGGAATCTGCAACTCTGTCATTCTTTAGAGTCTTTAGAGATTGTCATCTTACACAGTCAAAGAAAATTTGGACTCCTGGACTCTGAAATAACACTTATTCTAGTTAATACAGACAGTTTTTTACCCTGACTTTCTCAATTTACTAAAGGAGCAAAAAGGGCAGTTATCTTTTTTTTTTTTTTTTCCTGTGAAGCTGTAAATCTTTAAATGGTTTTCTGACATTTTGACAATTATTGGCAGTCTTCTATTAACTGGAGTCTGCCTGAGATGGGCAGAACACTATCAGCTATCTCTCTCACAACCATCAGGAAGAACTCAAAAACCAAGTCAGATATTTAGTAGCAGATGAGTGAAATGTAGCATTTTTGCAACCTTAGGCAGTCTTTGTTCTCAATTCTGTTCAGCTCTTCTCTCCTAAGTTTGGCTTGCTGATCAAAGTCCAAAATGTGAGGGCTACAATATGCCTAGTTTAGCATGCAAGTACAAAGATCAAAAGCAGCCCTCCTTTACATGAACACACACAGACTATCCTGGTCAACAACCCCACACATCCCACTCTGGTTTATGCCAGAAGAAATATGAGATCTAAAGCAGATTCAGAGGACAAGAGAGAGAAAAAATCAGTGGCCTGTCATTTCCACCTATTCCAGCAATTAGCCACAAACTGTAGCATGAGCAATACTTTTTATACCACGAAATTTCAAAGTATCAGAGTTACACAGTGCTGAAAGAACTATAAACAGGGTATCCAGATTTATGGCTTCCAGGAAGAAAAGCAAAGAGCTTAACACTTCCTTTTTTGTTTTATGTAATATCTCATGGAAATATCATCCATCAGCAATTGCACCACAGAGTGTTTGTTTTACTGTGAGAGTTTTCACAATGTGTCCACACAGCTTTTAGAGTCCTTGGCTTTTAAAGGCCTAGAAAAGAGAAAGTAGTTTTGGTTGGATATAAAAATGAATATTTATAAAAAATAAAACTACTTTCCCTGCTTGAAGAAGGAGAAAAAGTCTTGTTAAATCTGCCAAAAGCCTTTGGATTTGAAAAATGATGACTCCAGGAGCACTGTCATACACATAATACTAAACAGCATATCAGACACTCCTTCTGAATACAGTAAAAATAGAAGAGTTCTGCAAATCAGAACAGGAAGGCTTTGTGTGCCTACCCAAGAGCCAGTACTGCTCCTCCATAATTACCTGCAAAGGTCCTTTCTATTAGTCCAGTGCCATTTCCCACTTTGTGGGTTTACCATCAAGTAGCAGACCTTCCAAAGCTGACAGAAGATAGTCTCTCTCTCTGGTGTGCTGAGATGACCCACCCCTCAATAACTTTGAAAGGACCCTTGCTCAGATTGAAAAAAAAAAAAAAAAAAAACAAAAAAAAAAAAACAGCATGTTGTGTAGGTACTCATTTGGAGAGTGTCAGAACAGGGGCATCCCAAAAAGTTTTCAAGGGATCATTCTTGAAAGGCAGGAAGGAGGGCTCTGTACCTGATGCTATAAAAAGAAGCAAGACCGTGGTAACAGCAGTACATCTCTTCCCCAAGGAGTAGTGCTGAGTGCTAAACAATCACACCACAAAAAAAAAAAAAAAAAAAAAAAAAAAAAAAAAAAAAAAACACTCTGAAGGAATAACCATAAACCCCAACCTACATTACTCACATCTAGAAATACTCACCTGTGATGCCAGCAGAAAAGCAGAAAGCTCACAGCAACCTCTTTGCTGTTAGGACTACATTAGACTGTTAATTACTAAGGCTGTCAATTACTAAGTTCATACAAGTAAAGCTTTCAGAGATTTTGCTGATACTGGCATCACACTGGCAGTACTAGCACTACTGGTAGTACTTCACACCAGCTTTTACTTAGCAGTGTCCAAGTCTCACATCAGATGATCAATTAAGGAAGCCAACAAGTGTCGTTTTTGTTTCTTTGTTTGCTTTACTTTGCTCTTTATGTAAATACTACTCCAGGTGTAGAACAGTTCCCATGGACTGCTCAAGCACATAGTGACAGGTGTAGCTGGATCCATCAGTCATGCAGAGAAAGACTGCACTGGGCACTAACAGGGGAATTCTACTTGAGTAGAGAGAAAGAGATATCCAGTGTCCTCCTCTAATGTCACTGAGTACACATACTTAAAATGCAGCATTTCAGACTCTGTCACAAGGAGCTACTCTACCATGAGGACAAGATTTCTCTCCTTGGTTTCCTGTGTTTTCATGAATCTTTCTTATGAATGGTCCCCTCTGGTTCAGGAAACCATCTGTAGTTCTCCCTTAATATGTCCATCAGAGTCCATACAGACTTGTCTTCATGATCAGTGTTTGATAGCTTTTCTAATAATGTCAGTTCATCTCTGATCCTTTTTTCCACAAGGACTTCCTTTTGTTTCTTTCTGTAAACCTTACCTTTCTATTGCCAGCATGACTGCTTCTCCTCTCTTTAACAAAGATATTGCCATGGAACAACTGAAAAAAAAAAAAAAAAATCAAAAAGAACAAGATGTACAGTAATCAACCACAGAGGAATTAAGTGATGGTTAGGTGTTCGGTTCCCCTCCCTGCTCCTCCACCCTGACCAGTGAAATGGAGGGATTAAAACACTCCTCCAGTTTAACTTGTGTAATGAAACCTTTTCTGAGGTTCTGAGTCAGTCAATACTTTTAAAGAACCATACATGAAATAATTTCAATAGAAAAGCTGGAGACTCAGTGTTTCCTTAATCTTGTCATAAAGCAGCAAGAACTGTTCAATATCTTATATGAAAGATCGTGAAAATAAAAGAGCCTTAGCCCAGCATACCATTCAGTGAATTCCTGAATAGGTAAATAAAAGGATCAGATCATTAGGAGAGGAAGGTGGACAGTTCCTATTGATCCTCCCAAGGTCACAATTATTTATAATTTCCTTGATTACAAGCAAGAGGGGTCAAATCACTTTTGTAGCACGTAAGTGTTTTGTGTCATTTTTCAGCTGGTGAGTTAAAGGATTGCTTTTTCCCCTCTAACTCCAAATGGGCTATTGTTGTTAATGTCTGTTAAGTTCACAGAGTATGCAATATTAAGGAATATAAGATATTTATAATAAGTTATAACAGAGCTATGACCCAAACAAATCAGATATAAAATTTTAATGAATCGGTCTCTGAGTCTATTAATTTAGTTATAGGGTACAAAACTAGCAAATACATTTTCTCTCTTTCAGATACTAAAACCAGGGTCAGATGTGTTGTACACAACTAAAAAACAAAAAAAAAAAAAAAAAAGTCTTTTCTTTTCTAAGAAAAATATAGATCTCCTGGAAAAAAGCCTAAGAAAATTAATAGGAATTTTAAAACATTCTACAGTCTATAATGTAAATTCAAATCTGTTTTCTGTATCATTATTAAACTGCTGATAGAATTCAGTACCAAGCATGGCATTTTTTTCCAGTGAATAGATGAATCAATCAATGAAGGGGGTTCTTGTTTGTTCATTTTAAGAGTTGGTTTGCTAACATAACATAACCTGGAACATATAATAGTTGTACACAAATTCAATACTCTCTAATGAACATCATTCCAACTATGTGACTATGTCTTTAATGCAGATTTGTTTTGCTCCTTCCTCTCCCTCTCCTTCACTTTTACACTCAAATTTCTCATTGTGTCTTTACTTGACTCAATTACCCTCCAGGATAATCTATCCATACTTTTCTACAGACGCACTTAATTAATAGCGCTGCCATTATATTACTACTGTCAGAAATGTTACATTGGAAAATATTAGAGGTTATTTAATTACACTGTATTAACCATTAATTCCCATCAAAATTATATTCCTGCATGCCCCCATTCTTACAGAAATAAACATAAGAGATTTAATTCTCTCTTTTCACTGGCTCTTGATTACTAACACCAATGCTGTGTAATTGAAATTACACCTCCTTGAACCAAACTAATCCTGATTTCTCCCAGAAACACCAGCTCAGATACAGTTAGTGGTGTTACCACCATGTGTTACATGGAGGTCTGAGTGACTCATCTCCACCAAAGCAGCTCCTCGGGCAGCAGTGACCTTGAGAACTGCTCTAGATGGCTGCCAGAGGACAACGTGTTCGCCATCCACTCTTAAGATCTCCTGCCAGCTCTACCCAGTACAAGTTTACACAAATAGCGTTGTGCCTGAGTCTGCTTTGCCATTATTTTAAGAAAGCCTGGGCTTTGCACAGGCAATTGGCAGTGTCACATCCATGCCAGTATGGCTTTGTATGTACTTTGGGATATTCTACAAATACTCTAGATTATAGATTATACACTAACATATTTGTTGTTCTTTGTGATTCTTTGCAGCCTCCAGGATTATTATTTTAGTTTTTCAATTGCCCTATAAACTATTAAAAACTCCCATAAACACAAATATTAATGTACTAATAATGCATGCTCTTATACGCTGTGGAATGACTTACTTTTACTACAGTTCTGCTTTGTATATTTGTACTATAAAAACAGCATCTTGTCATTTTATATTCATGTTATCTCAATTATTTTAATAACATTAATTAAGTTTTAAGTTTACAAGTTAAATGTTGTTTACTTTTCTGCCTGCCAACATGCAAGTACAGTTTCAAATCTGAGAGTCAAGCTGGGTCATCTCTTACTTCAGTCAGCAGAAGTTGAATCTGCAAGTTAACTCCTTACTTAGTATTATCTGTGAAAATTCCCAGAGCACTTCCTGGTTGGGGCACACTATGCTCAAGATTTTCCTGTTTGGAAAAAAACTGGAGAAGTGAGAGAGAATTCCTAGCAGCTACTTTCTTAATTGGTAAGAAAGGTATTAAAAACAGATACCACACTCCATAAGATTTAACCTTCAAAAGCCTTGATTCGTGACTCCTTTCTATGAAATGACTGCTTACTGGGATTTCTGTGCTCTGTTCCCCATGCACTAAAAAGCACATGAAGAAGTCATCCCCAACAGAATGGAATCAACTGAAATTTCTCCCAAAATGTGTTTTGAAACAATCTCTTGCTGTTATACAACATGGAGAATCTTATTCACCAGGAAAATAATAATAATCATCCTCCTCCTCCTCCTCTAGTCTCATTTACATGTATAACAATATTTTTGAAAATGTTTATGTCATAATATTTGGAAAACGCAAGTGAAAGGTGGAAATCCAGAAGAACTGAAAATCAAACTTGTCTGGATTCACTGCCTCTAACCCACACTTTGGTGGAAGTTAATTCAGGATGCCAGGATCCACCATCCATGAAGACATGCAAACGGAGGACCAGAAACTAAAAGTGGAAGGGCTGCAGTTGAAATTTTAACATCTACATGACAAATAAGGCTCCTCTGCAGAAACTTACAACAGCTGCAGCAAAATGGAAGCACATCATGTGTCTGTGATAACACTTTCCTGTGAGAACATCACCTGGTGCTCAGTACAGTCACTCACTTTCCATGGCTGACATGGCCAGAGTTAGAGCACTGCACTTGCTGTAGTTAGTTCCACTCAAAGAGCAAGCAGGCAGTCAGAAGTTACTGTTGAAAGGCTTGCAGTGAGTGAGGTAAACATGTTCCTCACAACAAAGCTAAAGCACTTTAACTCACATTACGGTTAAATTAATAACATTCCACATCCTATGCTATGTGGAAGGAATTTTAAACCATCTTCTCATTTAATTTCTCACTACCAACTACCTTGGACACTGTCTATATCTCATAAACAGTTTACTGAAAATGCAAATAGTTTGTTGTCCAATTACTCAGCTTACATTCTTCACCATTCTGAAGCAAGACATTTTAGCAAGGAAACCCAAAAGTTTTGTGAGTGATGAATCAACAAAAACAACTAATTGCATTAAATTGCATTAAATATCTTAATGAAAACATTTATACCAGAAATTCTTTCCACTAGGAAGACACTTTCCAAATTACAACACTTAAATGCAAAGCTTTTAAAAGTACTAGCAAAGAAAACTATTATACCTGCGGGCTTGCAATCACCTGTGCATAATGGCACACACTGATACTTCCATTATGCAAAAGAAGCCACTTAGGTGCATAACACCAAGCAACGGTGTAAGCTCTACGTAAAGAAATACATTTTCTTACTTTGCCATTATGATAGTTAACCACCAAAAAACTTTGAGACTGTTCCTTCTGTCTGAAGATTTAGCTCTCGGGGAGCACAAACAAAATCCTTGGACAAGTTCTGCCTATGTAAAATTTTAAAGAGATATTACACAAAGAATTATGACCCCTTCTTGATAAAATGCATCACATGGTTAATTATTAAATGAAATAGATCTAAAATGTTTTCACATTGGGCAGGAAAATTTCAAAAAGCATGTATGTACTGTTAACAACCATTTAGTAGACCAAATACTATTGCTTCAGTAAGTAGAAGAACAAAATACCAAATAGAAGCTGTTGGCCCTGATGGCCACATGGGAATGCCAAATTCTAAAGCCGATGTTGGCTTGCCACCATCCCCGCCGTTGCTGGAGGACTGGTTCTCAAGGCCTTCAGCTGGGAAAGGAGGAGAAGGCAAGGTCACCAGCAGCCACCATGGCACCAAGATAATTTTCAGTGGAAACTATTCATAATGAAATATGTAATGAAATACATAATGAAATACCTCTTTTCCTCACTTGCCTCCAGTAGAGCCCAACTGCAGAGGTCAGGAACACTGTAGGTGTTTTTTAAATGGTGCAGAAGTACAGCATAGATTTTAATTTTCAGCTTTTAGAAAATAGCTTCCTTTTTTGATCTCAGACCTCACTCCAAGAGGAGGAGCAGGAGAAGTCTGCAGACGCAGTGCTGCAAACACCACTACCCCCACAGTATCCCAACTGGGGATAACCATGAGCATGTGAACCTCATCAATTCCTGCTCCGTGATTGTTGGGGTATGGAATACAAAGATTATAAAACAGTTTTAAAATGTTCTTTTCTCTCCACTCAGCATTGTCATTTACATAATCACCACTCACTACATTTAGGTTTAATCCTAATTATGAGCAAACAAGCACTTATAATCTCAAAAAGCAACTTTAACATATTAATGCCTATTAGCTATTAAGGCCTGTTAAAGTCCATTTTCTTTCTTCCAAAAATCAATTAGCCAACCAACTATGAGTTTTATTAACAGCTACTCTTCCAGGCATTAGCATAGCAAGAGTACAACACTATAGATTTTTTGCTACAGGAGTAATGAACTACATAGGAAAAAAAAAAAAAAAAAAAAAAAAAAAAAGTTATTTTGTGGAAAAATTGTAAAGAAATTCTGTATTAAAGCAGCAGGGGAAAGGATTTAGAAGCTGTATGGCAGCTGTTTCAAATAACAATCATTTGCAACTCTACTACAGATTTTTGGCTTTAGCTTGATAAAGTAACACAAATCTTTATGAACTCTATACTGTTGAATTTTGGATTACAGTATTACAGTGAGGGCTGTTTGTTTCAGATACACAGAAGACAGTAA